GGCAACAGCAACAAAAAACAAACGATAAATAAAAAAATACAAAAAAAAAAACAACATTCCTAGTTATTAATCAAAACACACACACACACGTATATATATATATATATATGCATGTAAACACACACACTCATAACTGCACTCAAACATACCACTTAACCAGGATTAAACTTAAATTAAACAGAATGTGTAGACTGATGACGTAAACAGGATGTTTCACAAAAAACTGCATGCTGCTGAAGTTGCTCACAGTTGCTCACAAAGGAAGAAATGCCTTCTTTGATTTGCTCACTCCAGACAAGTTCAGTTTAGTCATAGGGCTTCAAATAAAGAAGTGTGAAAACGTCACAGCAGCTCCAATCATGACAAAAGTCATAACATGGTTCTAACAATTATCAATTACTTTGTTCCACTTTGCTCTATCTGTCACGTGTCAATCATGATAACACAAGCCACTACCACTTCAGGAGACCCATAAGTGTCTCTGTAGGATTACCAGTGCTGAGGCTGCAAGTTCACCACAGGCTCTGGCATTACATGCTTTTGATTAGTAACAACAGCAGTCCCCATGAGTTCCAAAACGGCATACTGCATAGCAAGACAGAAATACCAAACTGGAATCAGACTGGTCCAAAATCTAAGAGCACACTGCAGTAACTCCCATCTGAGTTACAGCAATGTGCTTTTTTGTGGATTTTGAATAATGTTTTTGATCTTGACATATAAATTCCCAAATAATTCACTTACAGCAGTTTTATACTGCTGCGAGTGCAGGCAATACAAGCATTTGAACAAAAGCATTTTTAATTTTTTTTGTTTCATACTAATCAACGGAAAAATTACCCTTATCATGAAGTCTAAGATATATGCCATATGAGCTTTTTTTTAACAGAGTAAATCAATATCTGCATAATAATATAAAAGAATAATATAAAACCACACTTCACACTAATATTCAGTGCCACCTACTACAGTTTTCACATACAGGAAAATCGGTGGATGTTCCATTTACTGTAAGTATACTCCGAAACTCACAGCAGCTTTTATATCATAAATGTAATAAAGTCAAGCTTATGAAAAAAATTATAATAATAAAAGCACAAAATCTTCCATTTATCCGAAATTGTTTAGTCTGATATATTTGAAAGTGAAAAGCAGGGAGTTCCATGCAAATGATAATTCAACTTTAAAACGTGTGCACATTCAATTCATACACACACACACACACACACACACACACACAAATCAATATTTGCCAAATACAGAAAGTGAATATGAAAACTGAATTTGTGCTAATTACAGATGCAATTGCAAAAGAGAACAAAGTATTAACCTACTGCAAATTATATTAAGAAACTTTTAAAACACTTAAATCTTCAGTTTGTATGTCTCTGTTTCTTTTTAAAATACTGGGGAAAAGCAAATACACTCATGTGAACAAGCAGATTAAAATGCACATTATTCCTAAAGTTAAAGTAGACACCGAAATGTAAGAGAATTACTGTTTTTTATGAGAAACAGGGCAAAAATGTACTTTCAAGATTCAAGAATGAGACATTTGTGACGTAATTTGTGTTAGACCACATTCACACACACACACACACACACACACACACATAGTTCAAATGCTTTGAAAATAAACAGTCTGTTAGATTTTCCCACAAACCAGAGTGCCTACAGATCTTTTGTTCTACACTTCATTCAATTCCTCTTCACTAAAGAGCTGCACAAATATCAACTTAATATCAAACACTGAAACACACACACACACACATACACATTACTTACAAGCATACATATACATGCACAAGAATATTTAGAGCACATTAAACATCTGCAACATTTATATGAAAAATGCATAATATAAATAAAATTCCCCTGAGTTACTTTCACCAGCAAAAACAATTTCAAACGATAAAAATTAGTAATGAATATGTTTCAAATAAAAATCTTCATGTTTAATACATTTCTTAAAACTACAATTGTATTTACACTTCCTGAAATATTCTGAAATATTTCTGATTCATATTACTGATAAAAGAAGTCTGTATATGCAGCAATAATTACCATTTCAGTAGGAGGTACTTGTATGATATTATCTAACAACAATAACAACTTATGTATTGTTTGCATGCTTTAGCAATTATCACGTGCAGTTGAATTTAATCGGCAAATTCAACAGTTTTGAAATTCTCAACATGTAGCCGGCTTGTATTCTGAATACAAGAGACATCGTCAGTCTAGACTGTGTGTTTATAAGTGTCTTTAGGGGGTGGGGGGGTCTAGACCCTTCAGTCTCATACACACACGCACACACACACTCACACACACACACACTCACTAAAGGCGTGGGAACTCCTTTCAGGGCTGAATTAGAGTTCCATTGTGGGGCACATGGCAGCAAGTGTGTCTAGGTGTGTGTGAGAGAGTGTGTGCCTGTACGTGACAGTGAGGAAGTGTGTCTCGCTTCACACACACTGCCCTTTGGCATGTTTGAGAATGTATTATGAAATGAACACTTCAAACCCAGGCGTTTGACGTAGGCATGGCTAAATTTCAACATGTCCTGAACGTAAAAATATAATATTTTTCCGATTTTAAGACTTACACAAAATATGGTAAAAAATAATCATTTGTGGTGTTCACAGATCCCTTATCCTTAAGACATAGCATATATCATAATTACAAATGATCAATTATCAAATTAACTTTAACCTCAAGCTACAGTCCCTGTACCAACCCTCCCCCTCCCCTTTTTGATGATGCCACCTGCTCCATGCTTACACCATACTCCATCTTTGGACTGCTCCATTCACCATACAAAAAACAATGGGGAGGCTGAAATATGCCACTTCTCTGCAAAAAACACTTCACAGGCTCCCTCTCAGAGTTTGATATGCTGCTTGTCTAGCACAAAATTGCCTATCATAAACCAAATCAGGTGAAACATGCCTGCCTTTATTACTTGCCTATAAATTTTAATTTAACTGCATGGATAAGCACTGCATTGACAAGTGCACCACCATATGTAAAATTTGGATTATTTGTAATTCAATCCCTGAGTACACATTTTTTGAGGAGGTCTTCAAGAGGAGTGTGTGTGTGTATGTGAGTGTGTGTGTGTGTGTGTGTGTGTGTGCAGTATGTGTGTGTGTGTTGGTATGTAAGGCTATGTCAATCATTAACCAAGAAAAGTAATCTAGAAAAAAATCTATCAGGGACATAACAAACAAAACACAGATCACACACGTCTCCAATTTTGAAAATTATATATTTTTTCGAGAAATAAAAAAACGGTATCGGCAGGTGAAGAAACAGCTGCACAATTACAGACAAACAAAAAGAATTCTAGAAAATAGCTCCAAATGTTGTACTTCAAATGTAAATTTGTGTGATTTAATTTAAAGTAGCTGATCTTTAAATAAATAAGATGGCAGGTTGAAGACTTAATTTTCAAATATGAACCACCGCTATTTAGTAAATGTTAACAAATAATGGGCTGTATAAATATTTTTAAAATCGTACTAGTCTTTAATATGTGCTTCATTTATGGCTAAGAGTTGCTTTTCAGAAAATACAGATAAATATAGTTACAGTTTTAAATACATAGCAACCAAAAGTCTCCGAAGCCCACAATGCTTAATGAAGGAAAATGAAACATCTATTAATTATTATGATCTACTAGCAAGCAAATGTATCGCTACAAGTTAATAATTTTATGTTATATATATAATATAAACATTGCAGACTTTTAACAAGTGAAATATTTACACATTATTTAGATTATTGTGTGTATATACGGACACGGACGCGTCCGTCTATTTTGTGTAAATATGAAGAAAATATTAATAATAGGAAGCAATACAAATATTACACTATAATTCCAGATTATGTGATAATCAAAAACACTACCCAGAACAAGCCAGGAAACAGGCAGTGTGCAAGGTGTTCCAGAAAGCAAATCCTGTACTCATGGCGGCCTTATGAAATGAAAGGTACGCCTACTAAAAATGTGGTTGTAGCAGGGTTTGGCCTGGTCTCAATGCAGCAATGAGTCTTAGGAGGCTCCCTTAAAAAAGAATTCCCTTTTCTTATTTTGTGTGATCGAAAACCAGATGAGCCTGCAGAGACGTCTGATACGCACTTCAGCATTAAATCAGGGAAAGTTTCTTATTCAAAGTGCCTGAATATCTACAAAGTTGTCATAGCACTGTTAAAAAAAGGTTTTCCGGTCCGCACCATTTCCAAAGCGCCGAATTTTGATTTTTATTTGCCCAGTCCTTGTATCAGGGATTGCATTCTGATGATGCACATTTTCGAAAAAAAATCACTAAAATGAGGCGGTCAAATACGAATGTAAACGTAATCTAAAAAGCATTCTGAGACGGATATGCGTAGGCGCACATTTGAATTAAATCTAAATCCGTGTGATTGCTAACAAAAACAGACCCGTGTTGTGCAATTTAACAAGAAGAACATGCACAAACATCAGACAAATATCATATAGATAAATAACTTACCACACAAAGGAGGAAAGCATGAGCAGACAGAGGCATTCCAGAGCGCTGGTGCTGCTGAAGGCCTGCACTGAGGAAAAGAGGCAGAGAGAGAGACAGATAGAGAGAGAGCAGGCAGTGAGCTCTCCTGAGCCAGCGTGAGGACTGGAGAAGGCAGGCCAGAGGGGGCCGAGCCAGTCCCTCTAACCCAGCTGCAGTCCCCAGCGCTGGACCACATGCCTGTCTCCCAACCCTGGCCTGGGACGAGCAGGCCTCTGCCACAATAGGAGGCCATGAGGTTTGCCTGGGAGGCGCGTGTGTCGGCCCGTCTGGCAGTTAACAAGTCTTTGAATGAGGAATGTTAGCAAACAGACAAATAGAATGTCCACTGCATGCTAATGATCCAGCCAGTCCGCTCACAGCATTGGCCCAGGCCTATGAATAATTCAGCAGGCTGAAAACGGAGCCCCCGCCCCTTTTGCCCCCCCATCCACACCCCCTGCGCCTGAAATGCCTTCAGTGGACGGTGAGAGCGCGAGGGGAGAGAGAGAGTCGGGAAGACGGAGGAAAAGTATTCCAAATCTCAGCTCGCTCGCTCGCTGGCTTACTCCCTCGCCCGTTGCATGCTGACGGTCCACTTTTACATCCAGCTGAATAAACACACAGTCGCGTACGCACGCACAAACGCACGGGCAAGCATGCATGGTCGCTACAAATCTGCTCTTTCGTTTCAACATGCAACATATTTCTTTCTTTCGATGGAGGCATCTCTCACTCATTGCCTTTTTATGTCTTTTGTTTGGAATTGGCACCTGTCCCAGAAAAAGCTCCACCACTGCACCGCCCTCCTGCTCTCCTTTCAGAGAGAGAGAGAGAGAGAGGAGAGGAGAGGAGTGTGAAAGAAGCACTGTATGTGTGCGCATGAGGAGAGGGAGGGTGAGAGAGAACGCGAGAGAGCGAGAGAGCCAGAGAAAAAGACAGAGGGAGAGAGAGAGAGGGCGGTGCTTCAGCAATAGAGCTATTGGCACTTCCCACTTCCCTACTCGGAGACATGCAACAAGCTGGAAGACCACAGCCATTTTCAAACCTCAGCGCTACAAGCGACCATCCGAGAGAAACCTGAGCGATGACCACAAACACCTGCGCTCCAGATCTAAACAAAACACGGCCGGGAGGTTCAAACCAAGCATCCGCAAAGCGTTTTGATATCGGGAGAGCAGCAGCACAGACAGAAGTCACTCGGTACCTGTGAAAATAAAGGAAAGCAAATGCAACAGTTAAGAGCAGTCACGAAAAAAAAAAGCTAAAGATATGTGATGGAAATATGAAGAATACCAGGAAAGTAACTTCTGGTAGGACTGGAGGAACTAGTCTTGGCGACTGGTTGGAGGCAGAGGGTTAAAATCCAGAGAGTAGTAAAAAACCCTCCTTCTCCTGGCACAGGCTGCCTGAAGGGGAGGACCTTACTGTAGAAATAGCAGCAGACGCTTTTTTTCTCTTTTTTATCTGCTCTCTCTCTCTTTCTCTCTCTCTCTCTCTCTCTCTCCATTCTACTACTCGCATGCGGCCAAGTCTGGAGGAGTGAGAGAGAAAGAGAGAGGAAGAAAGATAGAAAGAGAGGGAAGAGAGAAAGCGAGCGAGGTAGAGAAGTGAAGAAGAAGAGGATGATGAAATAAGGGAGCTTGCAGTGAACACGAGCAAAGCAGCCTTTTTTTTTTATTCTTCACCGCAGCCACTAAGCACGAGAGAAAAACCGACAGCATGAGGAGGGAGGGGTGAAAAGGGTGGAGAAAAGAGTGACACAGACTCCAGTTCTCCCAAGGACTACTCACACATACACACTCACTTACGATGCTAACTATTCAAGTACAGTTTGCATTTGCGCCTTCGCTGCCCAAATTAAAAATGACTTCTCTGCATATACACAGTTATTAGTACAAATGAATGGGAATTAACAGTTGACATGAAAAGGGCATATAAAATGCAAGAAAAAAACAAAAGCACGGCTTGAATCATTTTTCGACAAGCGACGGTCGAGTCCATTGCTGCTCTGAGGGGGAAAAAAACAACCCACAGAAAGAGTAAAACATCTATCCGCTGGAAGCAACCGCTCCAAAGTGTCAGAGATGGTGCCAGGACGATGCCAAACAGTTTTTTCCGTTTGTGCTCATGTCCCTGGGGAACTTACTGGTCAGGCAGTTTGACTGTAATACCTTACAGCCCCCTCGCACGCCATACTGCCACCAGTCAGAAGCTGATAGAAGCACTGCTATGCTCAGAGGTGAAACAGCTGCTGTGATTTGCAGGGAGAACTCTTCTGCAGTGACGCCGCACGCACTGCAGCCACACCACAGCTAGGGCACAGCCTACCTGACACTCTGCCCAAGGTTGAGAAGTGTGCTTCACAGTGGAAGAGAAGGAGGGGTTTGTGCGGTTTGCTGTATTAACCCGATCACGTTCTGCACTGTGACATTGTTCCTTCTTTTCTCAATTCTGACGCAAAGTTCATGATCGAACCAAAACTCAAACGCCATGTTTGGGAGCGATAACGCTTTTGTCAGTCGTCTGAACGCTATGTGATAATGATGCAGTGAAGAAGCCTTAATATAATTCACCAGAATGCTATCGAGAATCCCCCATTGCATCCCCCATTTTGTGTTGCAAAGCACAAAAGCGCGCATGCGCGAGCACATGCACAAACACTCTTATACTCTCTCCTTTGCTTCTCTATGAGGCTGAACGAAGGAATATTAGACATCTATTAACGTTTAGTGAGAAATGTATTATTAAAAGTTATAATACAATGTTATAAACATTGGAAACGTTCCTTGCTATACAATTTTTTATCCTTTTTTAAGTCGCTAATTTATAACACGAAAAAACTAACTGCCTTAAAAAGACAGCAAAAGACAAAGGAAACGCAAAACTTTGTACACATGTCCCTGAGGAAAGGACAGTGAGAGAGAAGCAGAGAGAGAAATAGAGAGAGAGAGCAGTGCACATGCTCTGAACAGGATAGATGGAGCTGTCTGTGTTACAGTACACACAGAGAGATCTGCTGTTTTTAATGCTTCGCAATGTTTAGCTGACGGCGCTCCGTTCGCCGTGACAAAAGCCTGTGCCACGTCCACCTAGCACGGCCACACGGAGGCTGCTGCTACTGCTCAACGAGCTCTCTCACTCACACACACACACACACACACACACAATCTCACACAAACACACACACACTCTCTGACACGGAGGAGGGACAGAGAGAGCGGCCGGTCCGCCCAGGCTCTCTCTCCCTCTCTCTGCCTCATCCTGGGCCTCCTCTCCCAGCTTTCTCCCCTCGTTCTCTGCTGCTGGCACTGACCAGTCATTCCATACACACACACATACACGAGCAGTCGGCGCAAACCACACACACCACACCTTCAATTCAACACCAAATCTAGGCTGCACGATGCCATGTGAAAACGGCGAAGGGGTAAAAAACTAAAAAGTAAGCACTTCTCTCCTTTTTTATTCTAATTTTTCGAACAACAAAAGCAGACGGTGCACTTATTTTGGCAGGGGCTAAAAACGCCCTGACGTCACATCGCGCCACATCTCTTGACCAATCGCAAAATGGCGAAAAAAGTTAGGCGCATTTTACACGTGCAACGGCTAAATCTCTTGCAGGCGCTAAAGGAGAGCAGTAACAAATCGTCCATCCGAAATTTATTGTATTAGCAGTGATGGTGGCAGTGAGACCCTGTTCTCATCTGCTGCTTGTTTACTATTTAACCTGCCTCTAAGGAGCAAGGGTTTGGCTTGTGTGTTGTGTCGTTCACTGCATTAAAGTTCACTCGAGGATACAATTTTGGTTTTGGGTTGGCTGCCAACTCCCAAACACTATGCTGCTCTATAAGGCCTATCGTTCATAAGACCGATGGACTGGGAGCACCACTGATCAAACGCCAATCATAACAAACTCTTTATGATACTTTTCACTGCACAACCTCAGGGTTATTTCATGCGTCACCACCAAGATCATTTGTAAAAAGGCTCTCGCAATTTTAAAAGCTGTTTTGTCTTTTTTTTTGCTGAGGGGGTAAACCTTCCCCTATTACCCCTTAATTATCATGGCTGGTTTTTCCAATATATTGTTTTCAGAGCAGATTTAAATTGTTAATGCATATTACAGAGCAGCAGCAGGCAGCAATAAGCTGACGAATTAAGTAATGGCAAACTGTTACATATGCATGAATCATTAGTAGTGCAGAAGATTTTTTGATATCCTTTCTCTTCCCATTCATTTAGTGGAAAAAAATAAATCAAAGCAAACAGGTACATGACCAGTGTACATTAAATTTCACTATAGCAATAATGGCACTATAGCCAGGCAACAGTGAGCAAAATGTCCTTTCATTCACAAACAAAATGGCTGCCGGAGCTCAATACATGACTGTACATGTACCAGTCTGTCTATCCAAATACATACATATACATTAAACTTTAGATTTTTTTTATTATTAGAAAAGAAAACTAAAATAAAAGCAAACTGGATCAAGGTAGCAGGGAAGGGTTTTCAATTGTGTTATATAATTTATACTTCCCTTATTCAGCATTTCTTTTCTGCACATTTTTGAGGCAAAACATCTACATTAATAGACTTGTGATTTTTACAAGGCAATATACACCAAATACATGCACAACCAACAAAGCAAGCAGTTTGCTGAGGAGGAAATGTTTGTTAAGGGTCACAATCCAGCTGTGCAGTACATTGTCTGTTTAAACTGAGAGGATTAGCAGAAACCAAAAATACAGTAATTCAACACAGACAACTTCGTTTCCAGATGTGACAGACAAACTAACACGTAATTACAAGAAATATGGTAAGCAGATGAAAAGAACTTAAAATTTTTCTCATTCTCTCAAAGTGACCCTTTAAATAACATGCAGCTATTCATAGAAAAAAAGCAAAAATCTGCTCTAAGATGGGCAGGAGGGAGTGAATCGAGGGCTGCGACGTCAGTGGCCAGAGCAAACGCCACATTGTTCACGAGCCTCTGACAGTGCCTGCTCTGCTGTGTTTAAATGCTACGGTCCACAGAAGATAAAAAAAAACACTTTTTTGATTGACTTGCACACATGCCAAGGGCTACTTAAAGTCACAAAGGTCACCCATAAAACTTTCAGGGTAAGCTTCTAATTAACATTTAATGTTCAGCATTAGGGATGACTGAGCAGCACTTGCCAACATTTAGTACTCCTGAATATTTCAAATCAAGCGATTAGATTAAATGTAAGAATTAATAAAAGAAGAATTTGTTTCATGTTTCAGAAGAAAAAAGCCACCTTTTTATCACATACCTTTTACTCCCTCGCGCCGGAGAGGTAGCGAGCTCGCCGCGGTGGTGGTCTCTCCTGGGCCCCCTTGCGCACGTGTCTGCAAGACTTCTCAATTACAGCTGTGAACTCTGGGGTCAGCCTCTGTAGAGAGAGGAACAAAGGGCGTGACCCTGGGGTCAGAAGTGTTACACTGGGAGCAGGCCGGCCCCCATTCAAAGGGAGTGTGCTGTTTGCTTTGTGTAGGTAAAGACCACTAAAACACTGACTAATAGGGATTAGGAAGTGATCCCCTTAGGACTGTCACTCAGAGTATGCCCCTGACCTCCTGCTTCCTTTAGGAGCCGAAAAGTGAAAAGCTTGCTCACCCCTGTGCCTCACCGTAGCTGAAAAAAATGCGAGCCGAGCACTGGTCCGTCACATTTTACACCTGTCAGGCATATTTAAATTCTTTAATTTAAAACTAATGATTATGGAGACACATTATAAAAAAAATAATAATAATAATAATTATAATAATAATATTAATAATGATAATAATAATAATAAGAAGAAGAAATATTTGTAGCAGTTTTTACACATAACGTACTAAAGAAAAAGGAATTCTCATTCACTGAAATACATATTTTATGACAGTGATGATTCTTTCATTATTGACACGCATTATTAAAGCCAAATAAAAAAGTCTAAAATAGATCATTCAATCATTTATACTGTCAATCATTTGTGCAGGACAATTTTGGGAAAGCTCTGTACATCTGAAATCTGTACCTTTAAATTGTTACAAAAAGTAAGAAACTGGAAAAGGTTAATACAGAACACTACAACTGCAATTTTAACACAAATACAAATTTTAAAGGAATATAAATTGAATCAGATTCTATATTTAATTTGTAAATCTTAATTTGTAAATATTGCAGCCGGAATTATCCCTTAACTAAAACACATGTGGACACAAATTAATCCACTGACATTATTCACACATACTGCACACAGCTACTTCATGCTTAAACCCTAAAAGACTGAAAAGCATTAAATACTGGAAGCAAAAGAGAAAAAACACATTGCAAAATTACTGCAAATAACAGCCTTTTCTACTGATTACAAAATATGCTGCTGTATGGTTATTATCACAAGTATTTTTCTGCTGTCATCACCCAACGCCAAAACTAACTTAAATTTGAAGCATTAATATTGACACAGTACTTTTCACTTCTTCACCCCTACTCACACAGTGAAAAGGCTAAGGACACTTTCCTATTTCTTTCAAAGTGCAGTTTCCTACAATGCACTGTAATAACTAAACAATACTAAAAATGAGAGATAACATGAATCTTATCTGAAATGCAGCAATGACATAAATAGCATTTACAGTAACAGCATGCTTTAATAAAGTATTGCGGAGTAACATGAACTTTGGGTTCCTACATACATGGATAAAAAAGTGTAAAATGGAACAAACTGGGTTTTTAATGTTACTGTATGTATTAAGAATCAATTGGCATGTAGACACATAATTTTGTGAGGGTGGGGCAGGGCTGCAGAGAAATGCTGAAATAACAAAATGGAGGACAGTGAGACAACATGGCGGTCATTTCTGATAAAAGAGTCGCTCTATGTCCGAGCAGGCGTGCTAAGAAGTTACAAACAGTTATGTTATGCATTATAAGAAATATCAAAACCAGCTCTATGATGAAGGGGAAAAAAAGACCTCAGCACTCGTCGACAGAGTGGACACAGGCTCACTCCGGTGCTTTCAGAGGCACAGAAAATAGCCTGTGTTAACTATTTAAAGGTCTAACTAAAGGCACCTTTTTTTCACTAATGTGGAATTTATTTTAAAATCTCAAAAACTGTTAATTCAGTCTATAATAACTGAAGGTAAAAAAAAACAGCAGATGGCATTAACAATTTTAAAAGTAAGGAACACAGTTGGAAAAATTTGCCATCACACAGAAAAATGTCTTCAGTCTGCTGTAAATTAGTTGGAGGTGTTATCATTCAGATATATTAATCATTCCTCAAACAACACTACAAACATAAAGTAAGATCATGTTAATTCTTTTTGTGCACACCTAAAAAATTAAAATACACTTATGAATTGAAAATATAAATGATTTTCTTAAAACATATTGTATGAAATTCTGTATGAACTACTGTATGAAATTAGCACTAACATTAAAAAAATAAGCTGTGATTTAGTGTAAAGTGGGACCAATATATAAAGAAAAAAATTATACATTTCAAAATCCACTATTAATTCATATCCAGCTGAACAAAAACATAATTGAACAGAATTTCACAGAACAAGTAAAAGCACAAGCTCATACAATTTTTTGCACAGCTGGACATCTGTCAAATGTTAGTCCCAAAGGACAGCAAAGTGCCTTGTATTTCAGCTAGATGCTTAGTTTAATAAAAGAGGGCTATTGCTCCACGTGTTTGATAAGTACTATGTGATGTGAACTAAAGTACAGGAAAAATAGTCTTTAGATACCAAAAGTCTGTGTCCAAGATTTCTCCTGCAATACACATACTCCCCACGACAATAACGACTGGGGAAAAAGTGAGTGGCTGTTATGAAAGTTTTTGTTTTTTGATTATTATTAAATAAAAAAAAATCTCTTCCATATTTTCACAGACTCCAGATAATGTTTTATGGTCTGAGAAATTCTTTTGATTTCCCATGACATTACATTAAAAGCATTATGGAATTTTCCAAAAACAACCGGTGTGATGTGCCAACTGTGTATCAATGTGATAAAAAAAGGCTTAAACAAAATTAAATTAGTGAAGAATGTTCTCAACATAACATGAATGAAAGCTATTATGATTTAATATTACATTAATTAATTATCTTAATTTCTCTTTTACAATAAGAAATGAGTTGGAGAAAACAAGCACATTTCCTTGTAATGGAGGAGACTCTGCTTTAAAGAGAAGTGTCTACATGAGTTGGCTTTTTTGGCATATTCAGGTGATAAAGAGCATGTTTAGAGATGATGCTTCATGCACATTTAGAGTATATAATTAAGACTTACTGTTGCCCTGAATTCAAAGACTAGAAATGATCCTACAAGGGAGCCAAAACAACTCAGATCAGCTGATAAACTGCCTCCATATTTATTTATTTGAGCTGCATATCATTACCTTTATGCATTTTAAAATCTTATCATATTTGGCTTCAGGATGAAAACACTTCGGAAAAAACTTAATAAATACATAAATAAATAACACAAATTTCAAGCAAATTAGAAATAAAAAGAATACTAGAATTATTTTATTCTTCAAGCATCTTTACTATTGTACATGTAGTTTTCTATTCAGCATGGCAATGAGTTTAGGATTTACATTTATATTTTATACTTTAAAATATAACTTATTTATTATATATTTTAAAATTGTACCAATCAATACAATTTGTTTTTTATCTGCTCTGACTACTAGTGTGAAGTAAGATTTGCAAAAGAACTATCTTAATTCCAATTCTAGAATTTTGCCCATTCGATTACACAAATTTGCCAATCTAACCCATTTGATTTATACAATTTTGTGCATTTACATGTTAGTAATAAATATGGATAACATTTTTTTTAGGAAATGATTAAAGAACCTGTGTAACATGAAAGTAAATGAAATTTACTTTCCCAGCTTTCAAGAACGATACTGCGTGTAGTTGAACCTGCTTGTTAGAAAGACATAGAAAGCATTTAATCTTTTTCTTTTCCAGAACATGACTCACCTTAAAAATGGAACAAAGGAACAAAGGTTGAAAAACCCAGATAGGACAGCATTTATCCAAACTAACATCCAAAGCAACTGCTCACTACAGCTAAATCACACCGTGGCTCACTGCGACACGGCTGAGTCTCTAGAACATTCTGCGGAGCACACTGTGCTTCAGGAGAAGAGCCGGATTCTGGGGCATTATCCCTCACACTCATTAACTCTGACTTGTCCGAAGGCTCAGGTACAAGAGCAGTTGTATAAAAACACAGAAAGTTTATTTAAATCATAGAAAAGGCAGATGGTTTGGCGTTACATCTTTCAAACAGGATTTTAATAAATTTGTGTAAGTACATGAATGTATATACGAAAGATGTTATGTAAAACAAAACACTGAGGGGGGAAAAAAGTGCTAACCAACCCCAGAAGCTTCAACCACACAGGTACTTATTTAACAAAAGGTTGAGCAAATATTTAGTTAAGAATAAAACTCCACCCCACTGTGATATTTAAAGGTATTTATGAACTTTGCAAGCTTGTAGTATTAGCAGTTATTGATACCTTTCACATTAAAATTAAAATATGTACTTTAAACAATCGGGCAAAGGAATGATAAAGCGAGATTCTTCCTTTTAACAATTGTAGTTTGTCTTCATTAACTGTAGTCTAATTAATTTGACACACTCAACAGATACTTCACAGTGCTCCTCACAAATTAAGCCAAACTTCTGACAAACAACTCCTAAAACTTAACATACACATCAGAAACTATTTTCCCTGGATATCATTCACCCAAAATGTTGTTCCATTCCTCATATGTGTACCACAGTAATTATCAACACTTCACAAAGGCAATGGCCAAAGGCAGGGTAACCTCAAGAACTATTTACTCTCATATCTACCTGTTATGCCAAGGCGCCTGTCCATCCTGGTCTGCTGGCGACTATTTTACATGGAACCTTTTTCATCTCCCTGCATGCAGGCCAGGGTTGGAGAGGTGTGTGTGGGGGAGAACAGAAATGCTACTGGCCCTTAAAAGGCTCCATGCCTTTGCAGCTTGTCCTCACATGTGCCACGTCACGACCCACCAGCTTGGACAGGACTTCCAGGATTTGCCCCAGCCGAGCCCTCCACACCCAATCCCCTTCTGCCCACAATCTTATAACTACCCCTGGGGAGCAGCACACAGGAAACAGCCTCTACGACTTTTTACTGGGAGGTCAGGGACCCACACCCACTCAACTATCCAGTCCATTCCCTAGTTCGGAGTATTCATGAAGTTCAATACGCCGGGAAGAGGGATATCACAGACGAGATGGACAAAAGGGCCGTAATAAGGGCGTTGTACCGAGAGCATGGAAACACAGACAACTAACGACCGAATTACCATGCAAATCTCAGGTGCAGCTGCAGCAACA